TCCTCTGTTTCTTAGGTTATAGTTCCGTGGTTCCATAAGACTACATCCCAGGGCTGGGCGTGGATCACGTGTCGTGAGCACGTGGTTCTGTGTCCAGTCCCCGGCACGGGCAAAGCCAGAAGCAGAATGTCGGGGTAAATGAGTAGAATGCAGAGGTAAATGAGTTGAATAGCATAAAGCTAGCTTGCATGTAGGTGTATTTTAAATGTTATGGCCTGTAAGCAGCAGATTAGCAGGTAGATGATCTGTTCGCAGACACTGGTTTTTGGAAATAAGAACAGAATTGTGGTGGCTCGGGAGAATTAACCGGAAAGAAATTGAAAGTATAACCTGGGTGTTGTGGTGCATGCCATTAATCACAGCTCCCAGGAGGCAGAGTCAGGCAGATCTCTTGAGTGTAAAGCCAGCTTGGTCTATAGAGTGAGTTCCAGGACAGCCAGGGATACACAGAGAAACCCTGTCTCAAAAACCACAACATACAAAAATACCCAAGAACAAATAAACAAAAAAAGAAATTGAAAGGCTTATAGTATCAGCCAAAGAAGGCAAGTTAAGCAAGATGCAGACCATCGGTAGTCACCAAGATTTGGAAAAGAGGCCTAATGCCAGGTCCAGGGCCCATCTCGCTTAACACAGTTAACTAACAGATATCTTGGGAGCTTGGTGTGTTTCAGTTGTTCAAGGTTACCTAGCTAGTGAATGACCAGGGGTTGGACACAGTACCCATTGCACGTAGAGAACAGAGAGGGGAGGGGAGGGGTCCTTCCTGTATGGAATGACCACCAAGGACCTTGACGGGTTCCCAAATCAGAAAGAGCCCAAAATAAGTAACTTAATAATAGACCCCAAAAGTTTGGAAGACATGAACAAAGTGAACCCCAAACCAGTAGACAGGAAGGAATAACAGACCATCTGGGCAGAAATCGATGCAACCAAGGCCTAAAAGACAACACAGAGACCCAGTGAGACAGGAAGCTGCCTTCTAGAAAAAATGTACAAGACTGACAAACCCTTAGCCAGATGAACCAAAAGACAGAGGGAGAGGATCTCAGAGGTGAGGTTAGAAAATCCTAGCACGGACAGCTAACAGAGTCTGACTTTAAGGAGTCGGGGAGCTTCATTGGGAAGGGAGCCGTGAGCATGGGCCTTAGTGAAAACCTCTGGTGTAAACAGTAAAGGGGGAGAGTTTTTGTCTTAGAATAGTGAGTTTAGAAGATGCCATCTGGGCAACTGGGTGGGTGTGTGAGGGTTGTGGGTATATATATGTGTGTGTGTGTATGCATGGATATCCAATTATTTTTAGGGAAGAGAAATATAAGCACATTTGAAAATTCATGTGAGTGTGTAAAACCAGTGAAAGGAAAGCAGAGAAGTGTAACCTTGCTGTTAAAGCCAGCAGGCTGCTGACTGTCTTGTGGTGTGGACGGCATTTCTCACATGTTGCTGGTTTTGAGGTTTGCAGCCTATAGGAGGTGGGTGTGGCCACGTAAGCGATGAGGAAATTGAAGTTCTGAGAGAGGGTCATGACCAGAAGTCATGTAGCTTCAGCACAGAGGTCTCATCGGGCTTCTGAGGTGGCAGGGACGGCAGGAAGAGAGGTTGAAGCACACTCGATGATTTGAAGTGATGGAGGCGGTAACAGAGAGAGTTAGCCCGGTTAGCATATGGGCTGCTTGTTGATGTCTGTGCAAATGTAGTACTCTTGAGTGTGAAGAGCTAAAAGAGGCAGAAGGGAAGAGATCTGTGAACTTCCTATTAACGTCCCACATGAGCTGGCTTTGCACAGTGGGTCCACACTGAGGTTTGCGTGTGTGTGTGTGTGTGTGTGTGTGTGTGTGTGTGTGTGTGTGTTTGGGGGTGTTACTGAGGACATCGCTGTCCATTTGCTTAGTGGGTTTACATCCATACATCATAAATTCTTCATGTACTTAAATCTGTGAGATGTGAGCTGAAATGAGCTTTTTTGGTTTTGTTTTTTTCTTTTCTCTCTGGTCCCTGTTCCATGGATATTGATCAAGCAATCCCCATTATTGATGAAGAAATTAGTATTAACTATAAGAATGAGAGCAGGCTCTTTGTTCTGAGAGGCCCAGTAGAATTCCATTTGGATCACTCTGGAGCACAAAGCAGCTTCAGGAGGAAACCTAATCCTAGCACTGTGAACTTCTGTTCGTAGTGGGCCGACACGGTATGGGCTTCCCAACACCCCTTCTCTCCCAGAATGGCACTGTTATTCTTCACTCAGGAATAATTCCGCCAGAGTGAAAGTGCAGTCAGAGAAAACGCTGTGGATTAGGGAAGACAAATGAGTGGCTTAGCGAACATTAAGGAGCCCAGTCTGAAGGGGACCAAGGATATGGTCACTAACATGAAGTTTAGAAAAAAATAGCCCCCTCCAAAAAAATGACAGTTATGGAAGCCTCTGGGGGAAATGCAGTTTTGGTGAGGCAAAATGAATAAAGAATGTGTGTCTGTCTGTCTTCAACCTTAGCATGCTTTTGGAGCTTTGGTAATGGCCGAGACTAGGTTGAACAGGGAGCAGCGGTTCATGGCGAATGTGGTGTCTCTTTTCATCCAACTTGGCCATGAAGCTTGGAGTTGCCATAGTTCCTCATCTCATTTGAACATGGAGATTTGAATGACTAGTTTTTTTTTTTTGGGGGGGGGTGCAGGGTTCTCTCCCTCCTTCCCTCCCTCCTTCCTACCTACCTTCCTTCCTTTTTTTTTTTTTTTTTTTGACAAATATCTAGCTGTGTAGCCCTGGCTGTCCTGTACATACTGTGCAGCCTAGGCTGGTCTCAATCTTGCCACAGTAGTCCTTTTTCTTTAGTTTAAGTGCTAGGGTTATAGGCCGACTGGTTGTTTTTAGGTTTTTGTGGGTTTTTTTTTTTTTTTTTTTTTTTTTTTGGCATGGGAACTTGGGGTGTCTATGTGCAGGTTCAGGGTGGAGGTAGCAGTAACTGCCCAGGGGAAGTATTGTCCCTTTGTCCCTCTTTGGTGTACAGGTCCTGTACAGGGTCTAGGTCAGTGCCAAATGAGCCATAGGCTTATGTTTGTCAACAGGGTAAATCCTGTGGCAGCCGAGCCTGTGTGTACAGCTGCTTCTGGCCTCTGTCCCAGCTGCCAACAGGGTGGAGTTTCTGGCTCCTTCCCCAGAGTCTTTCAGGTTGAACCAGACGCTGGGCTTTCTGGGGCTGGGACACAGTCACGGTGGCGCAGCAGTGTGGAGACTGTTTCGCAAAGGAAGAGGGGTGTGGCGTAGAGAGGCTGCTGAGATGTGCCCCCTCACCCACTCACTCCCCTTTCCACCTTCATCTCAGTCCCTGACCCCCAGCCATCTTGCCTGGAAGCAAGATGCCTGCAGGAGAAGGGTGAGGTTTGGAGGATGAAGTGGGGAAGTGCGGGAGGATGTCTGTAGAGCCTGTCCTCCGGATTCAGCCTTTGGGTGTGCCTAGGTTGTGTTGATTTGGTTTGGTTTCCACCTTCCTTTCTCAAGTGCCATCTCTCTTACGAAGCTGTCTGTGGTTTGAAGTCTCTGGTGGGAAGGGACTTTTTCTAGGGGTGTGTCAGGGGTGTGGTTCACCTGCCCTGGGGTGTTTCCCTTCCCCTGCTGTTGGAATGGGCCCGTGGATATTATGAGTTTAGCCCAAATGATCTGGAAACATCAGCAGGCTAGATAGAACAGTCATTGTCATTGTAGTTCTAGAGTGACTAAAAATATCCATCTTGCAACCAATCCTCATGCCCCAAACAGTAAGGTTTCTGAGAGCAAGCAAATGCGGAATACCTCTTCTTTCGTGAAGATGTCGCCAGTCTGGTTTCTCTCAAAGCTGCCATTCTGGGTATGTGATGTACGAAAACCGCTCTGTAACTGAGGATAGAAACAAAAGTTTTGCTCACTTAGACTTTGCAGTTGCTTACAACAGGCAAAGTTAGAACTAAATGTGGCAGTGATGTTGGCTCATAGCATTACGTTATTTGTCCCTCACGTTCCTCCACTCATTGTTGGCAAAGTAGATATAGCAAGTACAGGTCTAGGTGTCTTGGCCAGTTGAAGAGCATACAAAACATGGAGTAACTGTCTTGAGAGTTACACATTGTTCTTAAGTTCCAGCCTCGGTACACATGGTTAGCTTCCCTATATAATCTCACTCCAAGGGATGCTGTAAGGTGTGAGAGAGGAGTTAGAGCAATGTCAATATTTGTCATCCATAATTGACAAAAACCTAAATACCCTTGGGCTTTGGGGTTCGAGATTAGTCTCCAGGTCGGTATTTAAGTAAATTCCAACATGAGCATTGTCCTTGGTACAGAAATCCAGATGACAGGCCTTAGAGACACGACGGTGCCTTCCAGCATTGTGTGCTGAGAATGTTTTTCATGTGGCATGGACAGTAGTCATTAGATCCTGTCTTGTGACTTGTTTTACTGTTCTTTGATCCAGCGTGGATTCTTATGATTGGCACCTAAGTTGGAATGGTGTCTTGAATCTCACTGCTATGGAATATGTACAGCAAGTTTCCCACCCGAGTCCTCCTGCACCTGTCTTGTTGAATGAAAGCTTGGATTTCAATTTATTGTGACCTCTAAATACCCTGGGTCTCTGTAGCATGCCGTTTTGGTGTTAATGCTGCCCTCCTATGACATTGGATGTGGTGCTCGGTGAAGTAGAAGCCCGTTCTCACCTGGAGAGGGGTGTGCTGTACCCGTTTTTCACATGTGTGTGAATTGGACTTGCTATCAGAGAACAGCCCAGGGAATCTTCCTTTTCAGATTAAATATTTCACCTTTCGCACTTGGAGTTTCTCTATCGCCATTTTCCCAACCTGTCACAGCCTCCTAATTAGAATGTACTAGAGGGCAGGTAACACCATCAAACTTAGTGCATCTTAAAAGGGCGCACAGAAGCGTCAGACAAGCAGCTGGAGTGAGAACACCTCCAGATGCCATGCCGGACCTCTCCAGAGGGGCATCTTCACTGTTCTCTTTCTTTGTTCCAGAAGCGAAGGCCGATCATGAACCAAGCTGTTCTCCGGCAGCTCAAGAACTGTTGACAAGGCTGGGATTTTTACTGGGAGAAGGGATCCCAAGTGCCACCCATATAACCATTGAAGACAAAAATGAAACCATGGTAATGCTGGAAGAAGACATTGCACTTCCTGTCTGCTTAGCATGCACCCTCCCAGTGTGTTGGGGGAGGGGACTCATGTCACTGTTTGGTCAGATAAGCTCTGGGCTCTTGCGTTTTGAAATTTATGACAAAGGCTTATTTCTGGGTCTCTGCAGGGGATCGTGGTGGAAGTAGCTCAGGTGAACAAGAAGGAGTCAGAACTTAAGAGAATGTCTGTATTAACCTTATAGCCACAGCCCAGAGAACAGTGGCTGCATGATTTAAGGAGCTGTTCTGTGCTAAGGCTGCTTCTGTCTTGAGAGCACCATTCCCCTCAGATGACTGCCTTGGTCTGTGATTACCTGTGGTGTTTTAGCCATTGGGGGATTGGGGAGAGGGGGTGGAAAGTCAGTGGGGTGAAGAAGAGATATATAGGAGGTGAGTCAGAGACAAAACGAGAGGCAGTTGGATGGTTCATCCTCCAGAGAGGCACTCTCTGTCCCAGGGAGCCCAGCCACCAGCCTCTGCCTCCTCTGGGTGTGCAAATGGCAGTGAGAGGCTGGAGCTTCTCACTGCAGCCGTCCAGGGCCCCTGTGAGGAGGCAGGGCCCGGGAGCCATTGATTGAGACCGCAGTGGTCACCAGCCTCCTTTCCTGAGCACACCCCATAAATCTTCAGGAACAGAATCAGGCTGCTACGGTTGCGAAGCCTTACAGAAACACAGTCTCCAGGTTTTCTGTACAGAGGTCAAAGAACCCATTTGTCTTCTGCCGGCTTTAAATGAAAGGAAGTCTGCCTGGTGGTGGCCATCTCCGTTTTATGAAATTGTGTTCCCCGCTGAAGTAATTACTGAGGCTGCCCTTTCAGTAAAAATCAAAACCTCCAAGGAGGCAGCTGGAACAAAGACACATCTCCTTTAGCATTTGGAAAACTGTGTCTGTCCTTGTTTAGCCTCCATTTGTCTTGTGTTTAAGTTCCGTTACTTTAGCATCCAAAACAAAAACCTGTGTTGAAGCGTGATGCGTAAGCCATGTTAACTCCCCCTCTGTTCGTCTTGCAGTGCACAGCTCTGAGCCGAGGCATCAGTCCCTGCTCCACGCTGACGAGCAGCACCGCCTCTCCCAGCACCGACAGCCCCTGCTCAACCTTGAATAGCTGTGTCAGCAAGACGGCAGCCAACAAAAGTCCCTGTGAGACCATTAGCAGCCCTAGTTCCACCCTGGAAAGCAAGGACAGTGGAATCATAGGTAAGAAGCCCACGGCCTGGCAATGTCATGGCTCAGTGCACATCAGCCGGAGTGCTCCAGAGATGGGTTCAGTGTGGTCCATGAAGGTCAACCCGTAGACCCTGCCCTGTTCATTGCGGAGAGCTCGGGGCTGTGTGCGGCCAAGAGAAAGAGCTTCAGCCTTTATATTTTGTGATGCTTATTTTAGATCACTGGGTGTGTATGTGTGTATTAAAAAGGAAAAAAAAAAAAAAAAAAAACTCACCTTATTAGATCCGGCCTGTGAGATTACTTCCCCTGGGCAGCTCATTCCTTGGGCAGAACCAGGCATGAATGCAGGATCATGAAATGCCTGCATATGAAACCGTTTCCACAGCCCAGTCTCAAGGTTGCTTTTTTCCACTGATGACCTTAAGGCCTGTGTTCTCTGAATGTTGCTTATAATGGGATCTGGCCACAGTTTAGAGGCCAGGGTTTTCTCAGGAAGCCTTCCCCATGCCCCCTATCATAGCTGTGGTCCCGCTGAGTTGAGTGTAAGAAGACTGAGTTCTCAGTGGCTTGAGCGACATTCCTTCTCACACTTGTCTAGAAAACCGAGGATTTGGGTTAACTCATTAGCCTGTGGACCTGTGTGATGTTAGAATCCACCGACTCTCAGAGCGTCCGTTTCCATCTCCCAGCCCAGACTGAGTGCCTGTGTGACTCTGCAGTAGTCTCAGTAGCGACTGAGCTCTCCAGCTTGCCTGCTTTGCCGCAGTAGTCGGCGGACGGCGGGTGCGACCCGAAGGCAGCACCCAAGCCTTGTGCTCTACAATTGTGTTGATCTCCTAGCGGGTGTCTTCTGAGAGGCTCACGGCTTCCCCTTTGCTGGGCCTTGTCCATGTCTTTGAGGGATAGTCACGTGTTCTTACTCACTGTCTCCGCATCCCCGCTGTTAGGTAGTCAGTAAGACCTCTGAGTTCCATATTCTCCAGTTAACTGGAGTTTCATCCAAGTGTAATTTAGAACACCGGATCATGAGTTCATCCAGTGTAGACTTTGAAGACCCCAGAGAGGACTGGCGTCAGGCTGTGGGCTTGCTGTAGAGCTGCATGTATTGCAGAGGAGTTAGCCTTAGCCAGGGGGCATCTTCCACTAATTTTGGTGGCATCAGATTATTATTGGGTTTGTTTTATATTGTTCTCATTGCAGTATCAAAATGTAATTTACACATCATAATATATCACTCACTCAAACTATTGGTTGACTTCCAGTATATTCAGAATCATGTATCAGTCCTTATAAGCTGATCTCAGAGCATTGGTGCCATCCCTGAGGGTAACCTTCTGCCAGTTTGGAATCATTGTTTTCCCGAATTCGCCAGGCCTGGTCGTCCAGTAGCCTGCTTCTGCCTGTGTTTGAAACGACTTGGGGAATTTTGTATGAATGGAGGATTTACCACAAATCCTTCTGTTTAGCGTCAAGGCCTTCCCCTGAGCTGTGCCAGCCGGTTGACATTCCCATCTACTGTACTTCTGTTTTATGAATTCGCTTCAACAAACTCTTCCCCAGTTCCTGCCTTCCTTGTGCTCTGTTTCTTCTCTCTCCCCCGTGGACAGATCTTTGTGTGAATTCGGCAGTAGCTACGCGACTTCCTTAGCTCTTGAAATGTCGTGTCCTTCTGCGAATCTAACCTTCCTTTCCTTCACGGATTTGGCCATGGCTACCTTTTTCTGAACGGGCTTCTTGTTTTTACTGTTAGTTCCAGACGTGGCGTTACGTGTGTCATGGTTTTAAATGTGCCATTTGAGGTGGGGTCAAGCGTTTACAGTCAACCTTTCGTAACAAAACCGCCACCATCATTCACTTTCTCTCCCTCGGGTCCATTGCTGAAAATGTGAAAGTGATGTGTTTTGCAGCCTTGGTATCAGACCAAGGCTTCGAACCTTCGTGTACAAACCTGTGAACCAAGTGAAAAACAGCTAAGCTACATCCCCAACCCCTGCGAGCATTCATACACACACAGGCCCTCGCTTGGCTTGTACTGGTGGTGAGAGAGTAGGCAGACAGGAGGCTCTTAACTCACACTTGATGGGATTTAATCTTCCCCAGTCTCTGCTCATCAGACTCCGTGTTATATGCTGCCATGGCACCGCGGTGATTTCCTTCAGCGTGCTTGTTACTTAATTTCCATATGGGCGGGGGGGGGGGGGCTTGTTTTTTCCAGCTCTTTTCTGAGTTCTTAGCCAAATGCTGGAAATAAGAAATTGCAGAAAGAATTGCAGTCTACTCTCCAGTGGCGCAGAAGCAGGGAACATCTCCTTGGTTTATAAAGAACTACTCAGGATTCCTATTTCGAGTTGGTTCGTGAAAACTTTTAATAGCACAGTGTCTTTTTTTTTTTTTTTTTAAACAATGTATTTTTAAATAAACATGTACTGTGTTTTGCTTGCATGTGTGTCTGTGAAGGTGTTAAGATCTTGGAGTTACAGACAGTTGTTAGCTGCTATGTGGTGCTGAGAATTGAACCTGGATCCTCTGGAAGAGGATCCAATGCTCTTAACTACTGAGCCATCTCTCTAGCTCATATTACAGTGTCTTAAGCTCTGCTTTGATTGAAAAAAAAAAAAAAGCAGGACCTTTTATGTCACCAATTTGTTCCTTGGCTCAAGCCAATGTGTTCGATTAACTTGGCCAAGCGTGAAGAACTGAAAAGATGACGTGAAAGTGAGAAAAGGGGTTAGTAGTCTATTAGGGAGATGGGCGGCGCCAGCTTCCAGGCACCTGGCTTGTACCACATAGTACAAGGCCCTAAGCAGAGGAGGGAAGTGCTGTGCTGGTGACAGCCTGCCTCTGTTCTCGCTCTTCTGTGAACTGTGGCCCTGAAGTCTGTTGCCAAGGCGTGGTAGGGAGGAGAAGGAAAAGAAGCAAGAATTTCCTCTCCAGGCTGACTGGAGCTGCGAGTGTCTGAAGAGGCCGGGGGGGGGGCTTCCTCTGCAATCGGAGCAGGGTGTACCAGTCCCCGAGCCTGAGCTGACAGGTGTCTGTGCTGTCCACCTGTCCACCGTGGTTCTCTCGTTGCTGGGGTGAGGTGTGCTTTTTTGGCATCTGAAGAACTTGCTGACTGTATGAACTTGTAGCCCGTGGTCACAGCCTTTGGGCAGCAGAGGTGTTTAGGGCAGCAAAGTGCCTAAGAACACCATGATCTTGGTGGGCAGAAATGAAGGTGAAACACCCTGGTTTCCCGCCCGGGAGGGCCTGGCAGCAGCTTATAGAATATGTGTTAGTGAGGATCCATATTCCAAATTATACGAGGCCTGGAGGAGAGAGGAACCACTTTCCTGTAGGTTGCTATCTTCAGTAGGGTATGCCTTATGAACCGGGACAGCCAGCGTCGGATAGCAAAGGCTGTGCAGGGGAGTGAGCTGTGGAAGGCAGAGGCGGCCTCTGCATTGCATGCTCGGGGCAGCAGAAGGCTCAAAGCAGTGCTCCGAGCACAGTTCACTCAAGGCGCTAGTGGGCATTTCGAACAGTGCTACCCTATTGAAAATTCCTCTTACGATTTAGGCTGATTTCTAGCATGCTGATTGTATTTAACCTAAATCACTCTACACGGCAGATGCAGGAAGAGGAAGCTTGTGTTGCCACATGCCCGGGCAGCTTCCTCAGGGTTGCCACAGGTACCCCGTCTGCATTGGGTTTCCACTGGTTAGCAAGGGGCCAGTGACCGTTAGAACATGCTGGGCCCCCTTCCAGTGCTGCTCTGGGAGACCAGGGCCTTAGGGACCCTTCAGCCCCTTTTCACCGCTGTTGTGACACCCAGCCTCACTTCATCCTATTTCAAGAGGCTCAGATTCTCCCGACATTAAAGTATCTAGAAGTGAAATGTTTCTGTCATGTAGAAATACAGGCTAAGCAGATAGGTTTAACTGCATTCTCTAAGAGTGGCTTTAATTTTTTTTTTTAAAGAAAAGTTTTTATCCTTTACTTGCTGAAACCATTGGCATTACCTGGATGTTAGTGTCTGATTTTCAAATTTGCAGTGTGAAAACCTGCTCACTGTGAACCCCAGCTGTACCTTGTCAGAGTAAAGCAACTGGCCATTGCTTGCTTTGAAAGGAAAGCTTTCATAAAGAAACAGGCTTTAAAGGTGTTTCCTCTATGCCTGAGAAAATGGTTTTCTTAGTTGCTTCAATTAGAATGTGTTAATCCCAGTTTGGGGGTGGAACCTGTATATAGTCATTGGAATACCTATGAAAGCTAATCTGACCTTCAAGCACGGCTAGAAATACTGTGTTTTAAGACACATTCTGAATTGGATTTGTTTAATTTTTATGTCCAGGTGATGATAAGTATTTTAAAAATGTGTATTTCAAGAAAATAGATGTTTTCCACTTAGGAAGACAGAGGATAACACATTGAGGAGAAAAAACATGTAGTAACCCTGGCTCTTCTACCAAGATTTCATGTATATAAATATATACATGTATGTTTATGTGCATGAGTGTTTTCACGTGTTTGTGTGTGCACAGGTGTATGTGCATATATGTCTGTATGTGTCTGTGTAGGTGCGTGTGTGTGTGCATGTGTGTATGTATGATGTGTGTATGATGCCATCGATGTGGAGTTCAGAAGAACCTACTGGAGTCACTTTCTTCCTTCTGTCTTTATGGGACCCCAGGCTGCCAGGTTTGTGTAGCTGCTGTCTCACTTGCCCAAGATTTAAAAACAAAAACCCACCACATTTAAAGATAATTTTTCCTCTCTATTAATAGTAGATGTACCAAGAAGAAGTATTTCAATTAGGGCTGAAGGTGGGGTCTGTTCAAAGCCTCACCTATTCTGTTCCCTTCTCTCTCTCTCTCTCTTTTGTTGTTTTGTTTGGTTTGATTGGTTAGTTGGTTGGTTGGTTTTTCTTTTCTAGACAGGGTTTCTTTATGTGGCCTTGGCTGTCTTGTACTCATTCTGTAGACCAGGCTGGCCTCAAACTTAGAGATCTGACTACCTTTGCCTCCCAAGTGCTGGGATTAAAGGTGTTTACC